GGGGCTGAGACCTGAGGACCGGGTGCCCCGGGTTCCCTGGGCTGCGGGACATGTCCTAGTGCCACCGTGGCTCGGAGCGGGCGGCTGTGGGATGCTCTGCAGCACCCCTGGGTGCTGTGGGGAGGGCAGGTATGAGCGGGTGGGTCCTGCGGGGCAGGATCCCTTGTAAATGGGACTTACGCCTTGAGGCATAAGGAGATGGGCCCCAGTCACTACGTGCTCTTTCTCGGGTGCTTTGGTCTGTCCCCTGCGGTGGGGACACAGCCCTTCCCTGGGTTTGGTGGTCCAGGGCTAGTGTTCCCCTGCCCCGGCTGGCTGTCACCCGGTGCTGGTGGCCAGCAGTGCAGAGTGCGTGCTGCTCTTTCTGTGCCACCTGGGCTGGGGGGGGATGTTCACACCACGCTTGCAGTTTTTGTGTGCTAGTGTGGTGGCCCTCATTCTCCACCTGCTTCTTTAGCTTGTGCTGATAAGGTCAGGAATGACCAGGCGAAGATGACTCAACCTCGCTTGCGGGATGCTGGGCAGTGTCTGAAGCCACTGTCTGATCTTGCAGAAAAGAAAGCCCTTAAGCCCAATAAATCTGGAGCTTCGGGAAGTTCCTGCTTTTCCCAGCATCAGCGTGGAGCCCAGCTCTGATCAGGAGCTATTCACACTTTTCGAGGCTCCTTTCTCTGTTGTGCTCCCACGATGAGTCAGTGTGGGCCAGTGAAACAGGCAGGACCCCCTTCCCCTTTCAGCAGAGGAGGAGCTGGGAGGGGAGCTGGCTGGGTGAGCTGGGACAGCAGGTGGCACGCACCCTAACAGACACAGGCCCCCTTGTTCAGTGACCTGAATTCCCTGACGAGAGTCCTGAGATGAGCAGGGTCATCTTTTCTGCATGAGTTCCTGGGTTAAAAGATGAGTCCCCAACAGTGGCGGGACAGCTCCCCCGCCTCCTCACACAGACGCTCTTTGTCTGCCGGCTGCCTGGGTGACAAAGGGAAATATTCACTGATAGGACTGGGACAGCCTCAAGGTCCACGGGAACTCCCCACCCGCCTGAGAGATGGGTCACATCTGGGGCTGGAGCTGGACTGGCACCTTTGTGCATCTGCCCAGAGAGGCATGGATGTGTTGTGACGCAGAGATCATGGCTCCACTATTTTAGGTCTGAGGTTGTCTCACAGCTATGGTGAGCCCCGTCTTGAACCAAAGTGTTGCTTTATGGCAGCTTCCAGCTCCCCTTCCGGCCAGCATTCCTCCATCCCGACCCCAAGGCATCATGTTCCTTTCCCACTGTGTCTCCTGCTGACCCAAGGCTTCTGGCTGCATGGAGCAATTCTTACACTTCGCCCTGTAGAAACCCAGGTTTTGTCACCTGTGTAGCTGAGCTGTTCACAATATCATGCACTACATGAGTGGGGCTGTGCTCAGCTTTGCTGCAGCCATCTGGCCCCATGTGGGAGACTACAACTCCTGCAATAGTACTCACAGCCCTGTGCATCCAGGATGTGTCCAGCTCCTGAACGGCTTCTCTGCCTGGGAGTTGGCAGAGTTTCTCAGGTTGCCCTGTGCCACAGGGTTTGGAGGTGAGTCAACCTGGGTTTAGCCCCTGATTTTCAGGGTTGAGGCGGGCCAACAGGCAGAATCACCTCCCCTCCAGCCCCTGCCTGTCTCTCTGCTATGGCCCCTCTGCACCTCACACTAGGGAGTAGCTCTTACAGGTATGTGGAAGGAGGCTGCTTTTGTGCCTGTCCGGCTTAAAATTGCTGAGCTGGAGGGCAAATTGAGGCATTATCCAGGTGAGCCCTTTGCACTGCTCCAAGACTGCACTCAAGCCTTCCCTGATGATGTCTGTTCATCCTTCAGTGTTAATACCTTGTTACTTCTGTGTCATCTCTTGCAGACACTGAACGGGCAGTGGAAATTCTGACCAGATACCAAAGCACCCTGCAGTCCCCAGAGGAGCAGGAGCTGAAGGCCTCCATTGGAAAAGTCTCACACATCTTCCAAAGTGAACTCTTCCAGGCTCTGCTGGGTAAGCCCCCGTCTTGGCTCTCTGAGGCTTTGCAGTCAGTGGGTTCTCCTCGGGGGCTTGATGCTGCACGGGTGCTTGGCACTGACCAGGTTGGATGCGTCCTGTGCAATCACACGGGTGCCTGTAACACCAGGGAACTGGGCTGTCTTTCATCTCCAGGGCTTGGGCAGGAGGTACTGGGGGTCGGGGCTGTTATCGCTGGGTGTTTAGGACGTGATGGGGATTCCTCAGTCAGGTGACTGTGGACAAGGGGTAACAAGCACCTGCTAAAGGATTCTGCAACGCCTCAGGCATCCGCTGTGCAGTGCAGGCATGGTGTGTCTGCAGCCACTGCTGGGTTTCCAGCTCTGCTGCTGTACCAAGGATGCCCCGCCACGGGGCCTTGCTCCTCCCTGCACCCCTCAGCCTCCTCACAACCTGCTACTTTCCAGTCTTGCTGCCAGCCTGAAGGGAAACTAAATTTTTGTATTTTTGAGAAAGAATCCACATGTACCCAACTTTTGGGGTATCCTGGCCTTTTTTGTGCTTAGATCCATGAGCACTTGCAAGTAACACACTGCAAGTGGCTCCATTTCACACAAGAAACAGACTTGACAGTGAGGCTCATCTTGGGGCTGGGCACCAGAAAAATGTCATTTTGAGCACAGCATAAAGTTTTCCTTGTGGATTTAGACAAATACAGATGGAGTCTCACTGGACTACATAGTTTCTCTGTGCAAGACACATGGCTATCTTGCTGAACAAAGTAATTTGAAAATGCACTTTCTTTGGAAAGTATTTTTTTTAGAAAAAGAAAATTCAATGGTTTTGGACTCTGAAATTGCTTGGCTTCATTCTCTGCCAGAGCAGACCAGATCCTGGCTGCTCAGGTTCACTTAGGACACTAATTTTGGAGGTAATCTCAGAGACCATTTGCAAAAGCTGCAGTGCGCTGAGAGGGGCAGGAGCTCCTGCTCAGCTCCTCTCCTTCAGCCCTGCTCACTGTGGGCCTTGAGGAAGCACAGCAGCCCTGGTGGTTTCTGTTCCCAGGTCCCGGGACAGAAGCCAAGTTTCTCTGCTGGGAAGGAGAAGGCACCCCAGAAGCTTTGCACCCCAGAGGAGCACCTGGACCCTGGGGTGCAGAGCTTCATGCACAGTCTGTGCCTCATTCTCAGTGTGTTTTGACCCAAGGCTGTCTCAGTCCTGGCATTCCCTCTTGGCAGCTCTTGCCTTTTCTTTGCACCTCTGCAGCCAGAGACCCATTTCTGTGCCCACACAGCCTTGAGTTGCCAGCAGCTCCTCTGTGCTTCAGGTTATCCACTGGAAATTAAATACATGGGATGAGCAGTGTGTTCTGAGCTATTTTATTCTTTCCTTTCCTTGTTCTTGTTGGAGCATCACCTGGAGGCTTTTCAGCCCCTGTATGTCCTTGTGCTGAGCTTGTTCTGGGATATCTGTGCCATCAGCAGCAGAGACATGTGGCAAGGGAAGGCTCCCCGGGGCAGTGAGCTCCCATGCCAAAGGAACCAATGTGCGTCTCCTTTCTTGCCTCTGTGTTTATACAATGTGCTCTCAAAATGGTCCCCAGCCTACAGTTAGCCCCAAGCTGGAGGCAGCCTTCCCCAGCAGGGCTGTGATTGCTTTGGGAAACCTGACAGGAGCTCAACACCCCTGGCTGCTTTTGTGTGCTCCCCCAGCCCTCCCTGGGGCTGTTGTGAAGGCAGAGAAGCAGCTTTCCCAAAGTCCAGGGCCGCTCATAGGAGCGCAAAAGTGTTGTGGAGAGAGTGTAGCTGGAGAGAGCGTGTCCATGCGCAGGCTGAGCTGGCTGCAGTTTGCACGCTGGCACACGGACGCTGCACAGACTTCCCTGCTCTAAGCTGTCTGTCTTGGTGTCCTGTCAACACTGGCACGAGGGAGTGTCGCTTGATTGCTGGTGACCTTTTCAACTGGTTTAACAGGATATTAGTTCCCCGTGCCAGAGCAGCTTTCTCTAGATGTGTTTACCTAACTATGAATTTGCATTAATTACTTCTGCCACGCCGGAGCGTGGGTTTGTGAATTCCTCCATCCCCGTGTGGACACGTGATGCTGTGTCCTGCTGCGTGCTTACTGTGCTTGGAGTCCACTTGGTGTCCAGGATCTGGACCCGCTGGAGTGCAGCAACAGCTCTGGGAGGGTGCTGGAGCATTTCTATTTTATTTACTTTTCACCCTCCCTTTTCCCAGTGGGCTGCTGTGTCTCTCTGAAGTTTGCTCAGAGTCATGGAGCTGGTTCAGAGTTTATCCCAGGGAGGAGGATTTTCAGGAGAGCTGTGGGTACATCTCTCAGCACAGAGGCTCCCGTCTCACTGCCCCACACCGTGCTTCTGGCTCCAGAGAGGTCTCATCCTGTGGAGGTCCCTCCTCTTGCGCCCTTTCAGCAACATGGGCCTGCTTTTTTTTAAACCCCCGGGGAACATGAATGCATGAGCATGGTACACTCCTGTCCTCAGAACACATGCTTCTACAGGTAATGCTCTCAAGACAAACATTGGCCAGCTTGAGTTTGAATACCAAAATGCATTATGCCAGAGTAGAGCTACCAGAAGTGCTGAACTTCATGAAGTTTTCCAAGGTCCACACGAAAAATGCCAGGGATATGGCTTTCCATAGGCATTTTTTATTTTAAGAATTAGCTGTTTAGTGGACTCTAGAAGACCCCGTTTGCCCAGCTCCAGGGGAGGATCTGCTGGGACGTTCAGAGAAAGCCTGGGTCGTGTCCAGGACTGGATGTATCTGTTATCATGAACATGCCCAGTGTTGCTGTGCACATAAATTGTTTTATGCCAGACTCCTCTGAACACAACACAGCCCCCTAAATCCTTGTGACCACAGTGCCAAACTCAACTCACTCTTGCAGGAGCTGCCTGTGCCCTGGGACATGCTGACTCTGTCAGGAGGGCTCCTGCCCCAGGGGTGCCAAGGCGACTGCTTGGTGCAGTGATGCAGGAGCTGCTCTGCTGGAATGCGCCAACCCCGGCTCCACACAAAAGAAATTCCTTGGCGGTGCAGAGGGAAAGCAGGCTGTGCTGGCTCCCTCCTCCTGGCCCCTTTCTCCCTGCATCGGAAGCCATGGAGGCAAGCGCGTGACTTGCAGGGAAACAGCCCGGCACAAGGGTGCTCGAGGAGCCTGGGCTCAGAGGTGCTGCAGCTGGACTGGGGCAATCATGGCCCTACTTTTCTTCCTCTGTTCCCTCGAGCCCTTCATGGAGATGCTCATACTTGTCTCATGCCACTGGGGAGGACAGGGCTCATGCACAGAAGCAGCTTCCTGACCTTTCCTCCCGGAGCCGGGGCTGAAAGGGGCCGTTGTGCCCTCTGCAGCGGGCAAAGCTGGGCACACAGGCAGAGTTTGTGTGCGCTCAGCCACCCTGGCTGCCAGCAGCAGCCCAAAGGGCAGTGTTCCTCCTGAAAGCCCTCTGGGCTCAGCTCCTCTCCTGTGCCTCAGCAGTGGCTGGTGCAGACCCCAGTGAGGACTTGTCAGATGCTTGACCCCCCAGTACTCCCCTTGCAGCTCCTTTTACCCCAAAAAACTTACTTTCTGGAGAGCCTTGCTGCTGTGGAGGCACGAGGAGAGGCAGGCTGTGGCCCACAGTGTGTCTCTGGGTGCAAAACTCCAGCTGAGAACTCAGCTTGCCAGCAGTGCTGCTGGGGATGGTGGTTGTGGCTTCACCAGGTGGCTGCAGGAGCCAGGGTGGAAAGCTGGAGAAATCTGGAGGATTCCCAGCGCTGAGGACTCCTCCTTTTGCAAATTAGCCCATACCCAAGGATGAAAATTCATAGCTTGCTCGAAAGGTCTGCTGTGGTGGCCATAGGTGTGAATCCTCTTCACGGCAGCAGGGCTGCAGCTGGGAGGCTGGTGCAAGGCTGGAGTGTCTGCTTGGGGTAAATCTGCAGTGACACAGCCGATTATGGTGCATGCATCAGGGAAGAAATGTCATTTTCTGGAAGTGTGCGTGCCGGCTGGCACAACAGCGCTGCATTAGCCCTCAGATGTTGGTGTTATAGAAATATTTAATGACATTTATTTGACATATTGACCCCAGGAGAAAATTGTTAGACAAATTCTAATCTCAGTAAATCTTGAGTTGCTCTTCCTTATTAGATCCAGAACGGATCATCAAACAGAAATTGAGCTGTAAGAACGTGCACCATCATCTTTTGCTACCACAACATCCTCTTACTGAGGCTTTTCAGGTAGTGCTGCTCTTAAAGTGTGCAGGTGAGGCAGACTTGTCTGCAACTTGTGATGCCTGTAAGAAATGAAGGAAACCCGCGTATATTTAGATTACTTTTAATACCACATGCGCATGTGTCCTAAAATGTACTTCTGTCACAGCCATACCCTTTGCTGCTTGAACCCCATCCCCCGATCCTGAAACTCCTCTAATCTCTGGAGCCAGCAATGCTTCCCCCTCCTGGCAAGCATCTAAATTGGGCTGAGGGTTTCAGAGGTGGAGAGCAGCTGCTTCGGAGGACAAGCTTCCCGCTCTGCAGGCGCCTTGCCAGCTTGGCTGCCCAAGGCTGTGTTCCTGCAGCAGATGGGTGACAAACAGGGATGCCAGCAGCGGTGCACCCCCACGACGGAGCTGTTCAAATCCTGTTTTCATTTTTGCGAAGTTTTGTGCATTCCAGGCATAATCCACTCAGCCAGGAGCCCCTGCTATCCCGTTACGCAATGAGTATTTTTATAACCAGAGAGAGAGATGTTTTTGCATGAAAACAAAGTCCCGTTTGTCTGGCTGTGTGATGACTGCTTGCTGTGACCTCATGTCTGATTTGGGAGGGCTTCGGGGGCTGCCAGCGGTGTGTTTGGCATCTGGGAGCTGTGGAGGGAATGCCCCAGGTGCAGTGGGTGGATTTGGGGATTCCCACTCCTCCCGTCATCGCCAGCTGCCCCATTTCTCCTGGGGCACAGGATGGAGCCTGGCAATGATGCAGCGTGAAGCAGCAGCTCCAAAAGCAGCATCAGTGCTGGGCAGTGGCACAGTGCTCCCTGGACTCAGGCGGCTGCATGGCCTGGCTGTGCTCCCCGTGGGCACAGAGCCACTCTGCCAGCAAAGATTTATAGCAGCTTATTTCTTGCAGCTGGGAGGTCACCAGGCAGTGCCTAGGAGCTGGATGATGGGGGTTCATGCTGCTCCCTATCCCATCTGCAGCACGGATGTGCTGCTGCAGTGCGTGGGCATGTGGTTAAACACAGGGAGAGGATGGGGACTTGCATCTGGGGGTGCAATCCTGCTTTGTGAAAGCCTCCTTGGGAAGTAGCCTCGGGCAGTGCTCAGCATGTCTCTGCTTACATTGCCCAGCGCTCACCAGATTTCCTTTGGAAATCTTTATAAAGTGGGCATTTAATACCCTGTGGTGCCTCAGTGTGGCATAGTTTCAGGTGAGAAATCACACACTGAAGGGCTGGCGAACCCACTTCATCCCTGAGTTCCCAGGGAATGCCGGGGGAATGGCCATGAGACCCACCACTGGCCCCTGGGGTTGCTGGCAGAAGAGGGGCTCTCCAGCCTCCTCCGCAGACACAGGTACAGAAAACAAACTCGGGTTCCTGCTGTGGCTTTCCCTGCTCCAAGTGTTTATTTATGTTGCTGTGACTTTTTGGCCCTGCTGACTGCACCAAGCTTCCTGTTTCCCAGGTGCTTAAAGGGATTTATTACTTTTTTTATGCCTTTTGCAAGGTATGTACCAAACTCTTTTGGCTGACCTTTTGGAGCTTTACCTTTAACCTGGCAGCATTTACCATCCTTTCTGGTTTTCTCATTTGGACACAGCTTCATCTGGTTAGTTGAATGTCTTCTCACTTTTAATAGCCTCCCCTCCCCTGCAGTCCAGCCTTGCTTTCCTCCCTTTTACCTTCAGAGTATTCTCCAGCCAGTCACTGTGCATTTGCTCTGATATTCCAGCGGGGTGTCTCTAAATAAGCTCAGTGCCTCCCACAAATATTTTACCCTCTTTGTTACCCCTTTCACTTTCTTCATGAAAAAGCTGCTCACTTTTGATGTAGTTCCCTTTCTGAAATGAAACACTTCTACAGTGGGTATATTGGCTTTGTTGCTCCTATGGAGGTGCTGGATCTGGAGGTCTGTGTCCGACCTGTCTCTGGAGATGAGCTGGGGGCTGGCAGCTGCCTGAGTGCACAACAGTGGGGGCTTCCTTAAGGAGAAGTTATGCCCACTGCAGCCCTGCTGCTCCCTGCAGTCCTCCACGTGTGATCAGAAGAGGGTAAAATGCTCCTGACAGGTAGCAGAGAGTCTGGGCTCCCACAGTCTCTCTGGAGCTACACCCTGGGCAGCAGCTGCCATCATATCCCACTGTCACCCCATAACTGTCTCTGGAGCAGTGAGGGCTGGGACACCCCATTTTCACACCTCTCTCCGGAGCCACTATGATTTACAGCAGCAAACTCAGGTCCTTGGAACCCAGAGCAAGGGTATGTGGCATCTGCTTGTGGCAGTGCATAGGTGGTATCATGCCAGGTGGGAAGAGGGAATTTATCAGGGAAGGAGCTGGGGATAACACAGCTGTAGCCATCAGCTTTAGAGCTTGTACACCGTGAGCCTGCTGCCCTAGTGCCCTGTGCCCTCTCTGCCTGTCCCCCGGGAAGGCAGCTCCTCCAGGGGCACTGGGGAGCAGCGATGGGGAAGGAAAAGCCTGGCAGTGTCAGGGCAGGCAGGGGCTGCCTGGTGCAGGAGGCTTCTCTGAGCAGAAGGGACATGGAACCACGCGTGGGGCTGGCACCGCATGGAGGAGAGTGGAGTGGGGTGGGTTTCTGAATGATGTTGCTGAATGTGGTTTGCTCTTAGTTCCTGTGGAGCACATGGTCATTGCTCCACAGAGATGCCCGTGCCTTCCAGAGCCACGGGGCACTGTGCTGAGCCAGGGCACCACACTACACCTCTTGCTTTGCAGAGGGGGTGGGGAGCCAGCAGAGCCCTGTCCCAACCATTGCCCAGGTGCCAGCCTCTCACTGAGGGTCAGACCTACGATGCTCTGGGGGAAGAGCAGGTGGACACAGGAGCTGCACCCTACACAGGGTACAGATATCAGGCTGCCTCCCCGGTCCTGTGGAGTTTCTCGCACTGTTTTGCAGATATCCATGAATTCTACGATTTCACACTGCGCTCTGCACCCCTGCAGCCTCCCAGCCCAGATGCATGTTGTGGCACAGCCAGGCAGCAGCATGGGGCCAGTGAGCCCAGCTCCGTGGCCACACCCAGAGAGCCCCAAAACCTACCTGAGGTAAGAGCCACTCTGACACGATGCTGCGGGGCTAGACCCTGCACACTCCTGCACCAAGGAGGAGGCAAGGGGCACAGGAGACCACTGGCCACGGCAGCCAAGCCGGCTCATACCCAGGGTGTTTCCACACCTCCTCTGTCATAGCTTGTCTCATTAATGAGGCAACTTCTCCGGTTCACAAGTGTTAATAGAATTACTCCTAATGCAAATAGCTTCAGCTCCATCTCTGGTTCCTGCTCTGCTGTTGTAGCTGGATTAGTTGCTGCTGTCTGACGCTCTCTCCCACGGAGGCGTTTCAGCTCTCTGATGTAGCCACCTCACAGGCTGCTTTTGATAAAATGAAGTAGGTTGAGTCTTTTAAGTTTCCCTTTTCAGTAATTTTTTTTCCAGCGTTCAGATAACTTCTGTCTCTCTTATTTGCATTCTCTTTAATTTTCAACAGCCTTTTAAAAGATACAGCACGAGGTCAGGAGGCAGGAATTGTGCAGTAGGGTCTCAGTTATCTCAATGGCACCAAAGTAAATAAAATTGCCTTGTGCCTTTGCAGGCCCTCTTCCTGTTCCCCTCCCTGCCTTGTGCCCTGCTAAGGGATGCTGTGGGAAACCCCTGAACTGGGGATACAGGAACATTTGTACAGAAATGCAAAAATTCAGACATTCCTCCTTTCAGTGAAATAATCCTATCAGATAAACACCGTATTTCTGCCTCACAGACTGAAGTAGCTTCCCATCGCATACCTGTGGGGATACTAAATTTGAATGGCAAACAGGGACAATGGAGCTGAACGATGTCTCCTAAGGAGGAACTTTGAAGGAGTTTGGTGATCAAGAACAGGGGGGACAAAACTGCCCACAATTAGCGCAGGAGATATGTGTCCCTCTGACTCAGGAACCATTTTAACCCCATTTTTTTTTGACCCCTTTCACACTGACAGTCCCTCTAGTTAAAGGAAAACCTGCAGATCTAGTCTGTGTTTATGAATGAACTCCTAGTGATGTTATACCATAGGCAGTGGGATCCTACTTTGGGTTTTTTGGGTCTCCTGTAGCCTTGATCCACCTGATGGCAAGCTCTGCTGACAACAGCTGCTGGTCTCTGTGGCCAGGTCAATCCATGCAGCCCCGAGGAGATATGACAGTCAATAAGGACATTTAAAAATTACTGTGGAAACGAAGTGAGGAAGCAGCTGTGGGCCTGGCGCAGCTGGCATGAGGGGCACTCCTGCTGTGCCTGCAGTGCCCTGCACGCAGGGGAGACGAGCAGAGCAGCTGGTCTCAGGGCTTCCCTGCACCAAACTCAGTCCAAACCCATTGAGACCATCCTTTCTCCAAAAAACATGTTTGAGGCATCTTGTGTTGCCAAAAGGTGAAATGCAACAGGGAACTGCCCCCGCCTGGCAGCAGGAGAGCCCCAGAGTCCCCTGCCTGCTAGCCTCCACCGTTGCCTGCAGTGACGCCGCTGCCCATGCGGCCAGTGCCAGGGCAGGCTGTCACGGGTGGTGGGATGCTCACCGAGGGCAGTGTAAGCCCCTTGCATGGGGAAAGCTCATTTAGGCCCTTCTAGAAGTGGTGGAAGGGCCTGGAGGCAGCTGGCCTGCCCTATCCCCATGTACCCCCTGTCTCGTTTCAGAATCCATCCTGGGATGGTGAGCGGACACTTTCTGCAGGGGCTGGGGACAGCACACCAGGGACACCGCCACGGCTGGTGAGGGTGACAGCACGGAGGACGGAGGCACCGGCCAGCGTCTGCAGCCTGGTGCTTGGCTCTCGCAGCGCCCTGCCCCAGGTGAGCCTCCGTGCACCCCACGCCATGTCCCACACTGCCAGCCCAGCCGGTGGCTGGCACTGAGGGGACAGCACCAGGGCTGTGTGCCCCTAGCACTGCTGGGACAGTGCCAGGGAGGCGTTTTCCTCCCCTGGGGCTGGCAGGGTTTCCTCGTGGCTACTCTGGTGATGCTCAGGCTAAGAAATCTAGCAGTCACCCAGCAGCCCCACCAGGGGCTGGATGACACCGAAATCATCCTCTTGCATTAGCATTACCGTGGCCCAGTGTCAGCCCTCAGGGCTCAGAGGGCAGGTGGATATGGCGCAGAAATAAAGAGGCTGCGTGAAGCCAGAAATCCTCCCACCCCATCTCTCTTGCCCCCAGCACTGGCACACTCCCACGTTGCAGATTTCCATATTTTTTTCTCTGAGCTCTTAAATGGCAGGTCCATTCCTCAGCTTACCAGAGCTTTTCTCTGATGTCTTATTTACTTGGAAACACTGTTTATTTGGATGTGCATTGCATCATAAATCTCAGCTTCCTCCTGGTGCAAGTGCATTGTTTGGGCTACTCATTTGAGGGGAGTTTTAGGGACAAGCAAATGGCAAAATGCACTTTTGAGAGGGATGAAGTTGCCAGGATGGATGGAGCTCACTGCAGATTTAAAATTATATGAAAACGTTGTTTTCCTTGGCGTAGATAGAAATAATGCTTGTTTACTAATTCAAGGTTGTCTTCTGAAATATTTTAAATATGAAAATTGCACTGCTTCTTTTCTCTCCTTTTTAAATGTTTCCCTTCTTATTCTTCACTGCAATAAAATGGGTAACGCCCCATTTTTTTTTCCTTTACTGTTTAATTTCTCCTTTTCCTCTTGCTACTCTCTGTTTTCAAACATTCACCAAATCTTTACCAGTTTTGGAAAGGCAGGACGGTGGTTTTCTGAACACAACAGGAGGATGAGCTCAGCTGCCGGTCTCCGTTTGCCAGTGGGAGGGAACCACAACCGCAGATGGGGGAGTCACGGGGCAAAACCCATGGGGGTTGAGAGCCTAATCAGTTGGGAACAGTCAGATTTTAAGGGATTTTCTTCCTAACTGTCCCAGGCTGTGGAGTGCAGCAGCTCTTGCATCCAGCCCCAAATGTCTGGCTGAGTTGCAATGTCTCCGTTAGCAGCAGCCACCTAGCTTTGATTTTAAGACTTCATGCGATGGGGAATCTGCTGTGTCCTTAGCCTAGCTGGGCCTGATGGTTATTTATCCTTCCCATTAAAAATCTGCACTTTGCTGTTAGCCTGGATTTCTCGCACTTTAGCTCCCAGCCCCAGGAAATTTTGCTGCCTTTGTTTGCTAGGATAAAGGACCATGGCAATCAGAAATGTTCCCAACATGTAGGTATTTATAGATGCGTCTAAGTTCCCTCTTAACGAACTTTCCCTTAGATAAACTAAACAGATTGGCTTCTTCACTCACTCAGTGTGAGGCAGGTTGTTCCAGCCCTGAAATAATTCCTGTCGTTCTTTTCTGAAGCTTTTTTTATTTTCAGCCTCCTCCTTTCCTAGCTTGTGTCAGTATGGGTCAGGAGGTGGTCCTCAGTGCCGGGCACTGGTGCTTTCAGTGTTACGCATCCACAGGGACTGCAGCTGCCAGCCCAGAGCAGGGGGTCACTGCCCTGAGAGGGAGGGGGCAGTGGGGACCCAGGTGGGCAGGACAGAGCACTGGGAGGGCTGTGCTCTGGCAGAGCTCTCATCTGCAGCCTCTTTCATCCCAGAGAATGGCCACTTCACAGGCAGAGCAGGGATCTGGAAGGGAAAAGCCATCAGGATGGTAGTGTTTAGTGCTGGGCTTAGCCATGCCCTTAGTCCTGCCTGAAACTCAGCTTTCTGTGGAGACCCATCAGCTTTCCTGGAAACTGGGACCAAGTGGTGCTGCAGGCTCGAGCGCTGCTCCCCTGTGACAGCCCCTGTGCTGGGATATGGGGACCTCTGACATGACAGTGAGCCTGTTCCTTGAGATGTCATCTTCATCACAGAACACAGGCCTTGCCCCGATGGAGCAGGAGCATTTCCAGCAGTCCCCCACGTCAGCGACCTGGACAGTGACATGGGGTTGGCTATGTCTGGGGGCAGGCTGTGCCAATGGACTGCAGCATGGGCCCGGCTACACATCCCTCACTCCTGCATGAAGGCACTGAGGACACCTCAGCTCCTGCCCAGCATCACCTCCCATGTCAATTCTCAACAGCCCCAGCATGCAGGACAGCGTCGGAGCTGGATAAAACCTACACACCCAGCTCTTGCCCACCTCCACGGTGACTTCTTGCTCCCCAGCCTTTGGTGTGTGCCTTTTGCCATGGGCATTTCTGAAGCCGGTTTCAGGAAGACACTTGAGATGGCAAATAGCACTTGGAAGAACCAGGGAAGCTTTTATGTGATATTTAGTGCTAGTGCAGGAGGGCACCAGCTGCAGGGCAGAGCAGCTGTGCCCTGGTGCTATCATCCCAGGGACAAGAGCTCTAACGGACACCCTGCCACTGATAAAAGGCAAGATGATAAACTGGTTCGTCCTGCCTGAAGTAAGTGCAATTCTCTTATTGCATCCATCAATGTAAATAAGTTTTCTTTTGTCCTGGCTTTGTCCTCTTCCCTGTCTGCAGCTCTCCCCAGCAGTAATAGCAGAGCAAAAGGCGCCATAACCTTTAGCCAGAAAGACACATGAGAAATAAATTGCCTCTTTGCACAAATGCTTCCAGGAACAGGAAATTTTCTGTCTGCTGGCAAGGATGTGTGAGCCCTCTGAGAAGCCCTGCAGTGTGCAAATGGCTGCTGCAAAAGAAGTGGGACCTGTAAATACAGCAGCAACACGTGCTTCCTGATGGTGAGGCTTAGTGGGCTGATACCATCCCTCCATGGGAAAGTGGATGTTCAGCCCTCAATGGGACAAGAGCAAAGGGACTCGGCCAACTGAAATGACCTGTTGAGGTGCTCTGAGGCACAATCCTGCCTGAGCTCAGGTGTTTGTGAGGTTTTATTTGCCAAATCTTCCATTTCAACCTTTCCCTGAGTCCTATGGTTGCCTTAGCAGGGCTGCTCAGGGCTTGTGTGTATCTGCAGTGGGAAGACTCACGAGGATGCTCCCATGGCCGGTGCCACTCGCCTGTGCTCATAGGCTGGCAGGAAGGCTGCTTCTCTCAGTAAACGCCGTTCTCATCCTCTGTGCCGGGAGCAGAGAGCAACCAGCTGCAAAGATAAATGAACGAGGAACAATACCACTGATGAGCAGAAAGTCTGCGCCTGTGAGGAAGCACTGCTCTTCCCCTGTCACCCTCTCCTGCCTCCCAGCACGGCTCTGCAGCCACTCTGACTTCATCCCTGTCATCGCGCCAGTGCAGTGCCGCCCCTCCCGCGGTCGCCTGCCCGTGCATCCCTCCCTCCCTCCTGCCTGCCCAGGGTTTCGTTGCTTCACTGCCCGACGCCAGCGCCGTGGCTCTGTCCTTGCTCAGCCCAACAACTGACACTGAGCAACAGCAGGTCTTAACGTGATGGAGAGAGTGAGCGAGACTGCTTCAGAGGACAGACATCCATGAGTACTCCGAAATCACTGGTGAACAGGAGACCTCGCCGGCAGGCGATGCTGCCGCTCCCACAGGCTGCGGGTGCGTGGGATGCCGCCGAGCGTGCCTGCAGCGTGCCTGGTGCAGGCTGTGCTTTAGCACTGCTGGGCTGAGGCAAGAAATGTCCCCTTGCCTCCCTGCGTCCCAGGAAGGACACAGCCCAGCTCTGCAGAAACGCCTTGGCAGGTTGTTAGGAGCCCTCCCACTGCACCTGATGCTGAAGAAGATGCATCTGTCTGCCCTATAACCCACAGCTCAAGTGCCAAAAAGGTTCGTGGAGCTCCCCAGGGGATTTGGCAGAGAAAGGCAGGCTGTGCCGCCAGCGTGGCGACCGGCTGTCTGCTTCCCCCATCCTTCTCTCAAGTGTTTTTTCCTCTTTCCCGATTTGCCTTTGGCCAAAGAGAAGGGCGTTCCCATGCTCTGCGCCTTTGCCTGGCAGGAGCTGCTCAGGGCACCTGCAGTGGGTTGGGACGAGATCGACCTGTAGCGGCTGCTGCTGCTGCTGCTGCAGAAATGCCCACTGTGAGCTCCCACTGCCCCCTGCCCTGGCTGCAGCCCCACCACTCCTCCTTTGCTCTGCAAGGTGTGTGAGAGGGGAAACACCAAATAACTGTTTGCTATTGGAGGAGTGTCAGGGAAATTAAGCAGGTCCCTGATGCAGGCGTCTGACAATGAATGCAGCCCCCCAAAGAAAGCCTCTCCATGAGGTTGCCTGGTTGCATGTGCCCTGCTGTCCCCACCACCCCGTGTCCTCTCTGTGGGCTGGCTGGTCAGACGGCCAAAGACATCACTGCAGGCCAGACTGGCCACTGCTTTATCTCTGCTTGTGCCCAGCAGCATCAGCCCTGCGACCCCAAGACCCTGGGAAGTGGCTAATGCTCAAGCAATGGGAGCAGAGGAGAACAGCTCCCTGAGAGACCCCCCCTTTCCCACTGCATCCCCATGCACCTTTGGGAGCATGCTTAATTTTAGGAAAAGCAGAGAAGAAAAGCAGCAACCCACAATCCAGAGGTCCCGCCTGCTGCCCTAGTGTCACATGAGCTGCTTTGTGCGTGGAGATCACTTCAAGGCTCTGCATTCAGATGCTCTCCAGCACTTTTGTGTTTTGACATTGCAGACACAGGCTCGAAAGCCAAAGCGCTGAAGCCAGGAGGGTGTCTGTCTGCAGTAGCACACTCAGACTGAACCATACATCAGCCCTGCACAGCATGGACGGCCGGCTGGGCAGCTGGCTGCCTGTGTCCCAAGGAGCCTGTTGCTCAAAGCGGGGTCAGCACGGGCTGTGTCAGTAAGAGCTGTCACTTCAGTGGACGTTTTGGGGTTGAATGGCCTCAACTTTACTAGAGGCTCTTGCTGTTTCCTGCCGCGGAGATGAACAAGGAGATGCTTAGACCTCAGTACTCCCAGCT